GGATAATACGCTTTGCTAAGAGAGTCGCTATGGACGTCAATATGTATATATATGTACGGCTTCAGCAGCAAGCCGTTATCTTTAGCTTATTGCTAGCGGAGATTTTTTTAAAACTAAATAAGCACTAATTTGTTGGTGCAACCGGACGTATGTTTAGTAGTACACTCTTTATATGATTTACAAACCTGTTTCATGTCGTCATAGAGTTTGGGGTGTCTGTCTTCCAGATGTCGTGTTACTTGACTTGGTGGCTTCACCTTGAAGCTCTGCTGGATACCGGCCAGTGTGTCTCCTCTCCCGACTCGTTGGTCGTGGTATCCGGACAGCAATTCTGATATCTGAATATTCGCTGCTGCCGATGATAGAAACAGAACCATGACCGCTATCTTAAACTGGCATTAGAAGCCAGGTACTGCCTGTGCGTCCCGCCCACTTCCACTCCTGTCGGAGCGCTATGGACCAGCCCCATTGGTCGGACTGTACACAGCAGCCTGGGCTCTGGAGGGAACACGTGTGTCGGTGTCAACTGAAGGAGGCCGCGAGAGACGGAAAAGTATCGATAACACGGGAAGTTAATCTCGCTGCTCGATACCAGCTTTAGTATCGATTTAGTATCGAGGTATCGATATTTTTGACAACCCTACTTTAAAGCATCTGGAAACATGGATTTAGGTGGTACAATATATATTGTCCAAAAAAACCCAGCTCAATTTGTCTTCAGACCCTCTGGGATGTAAGGACATGTCAGATCCCTTTAACTGAGCGCTCCTTCAGGTCCTCCTACATGTGGTCAAGTAATGTCCTGTGGACCGCTACAGATGCTGGCAGCAGCAAAACGCACATGAACAAAGCACCCCCTCAAAAAATCCACATTGGTTCAAGTATAAGCTATAATAAAAACACATTTGCTGCTTTAGGACCATGTTTTATGGGGAACTGAAGTTGTTGTCTGCGTTGTTTCATGGCCACCAAACTCCATGGACAGAAACACACTTTTTACCGTACAGCACCGGAGCTGAACAGTCTGTCTTTGTGTTTGTTAGCAAGCTTGTGTTATTGTTTGACTTCAGTAATTTAACAAAACAAAATTACTTTTTTTCTCACAGAGTTTGCGGCTGTGAGCAGCGCGCACACCACAGCCTCAGTTCCCTGTCTTATTACTGCACAGTTAAGTGAGAAACATGTTGCGAATGTAGCAAGCATTGAACCCACACTGATATCGACCCAGTAAAATCACTGTTAATGTTAAACGAGTTAAAGCGGCTTCAGGCCTCTGTTGTTGTGGAGTCGGTAACATCAGACGCCTCAGGCGGCACCAAATAGTTTAGATTAACTTCATCTTGTAAACTACATGAAACTATGTGCATACAATTCGGCTGTAAACCCAAGTCACTGGAATTTTACTACTTATACTGAACTCCCAGTGATTATATTATAACTTATCCAGTGACTTCTCCCCCATTATTGGTCATTCAAACAGTTAAGACGGCCCCCGGCAATGTCCATGAACTTCAGGATTCAGCATGCATGCAAAGAAATACGCAGACTGCAACGCTCGTGAAACATTTACCGATAAACAAGTCAACATATGCATTACTAATACGATACACAACAACATGTTACGTAGGAATCTTTAATTACACTCAAAGCGGCAGCATTGACAACAGCAGGTAGCAGATTAACTTTGCTTATGCTGAAGTCCCGGTTAAGTCCTGACACATGCACAGATGGCAGTGTGATGCCCGGGTGTCTTGGGCAGATTTTGTGATATTTTTAAGGTTGCACCTCTTACTGTTAAGAAATGGGTAATGTAGCTAGAATTACTAGGTAGTGTTGGTAGAATTTACCATGCTGACCAAAACAATAAGGCAAATTTTCAACAACTTGCATTGATAGCATTTACAACCCTCAAAAAATGACATGACTGGTGCGCCTTTAAAACACTGTTCCACAACTTTATCTCAACATTCATAATTCTCCAGGAAACGGACAATATGAGCAGCAATGTTATCGGCTTGCTCGCCACAAGAAACATCTTCAAATCTGACAAAGCGCTCCTTGACACCTGCATCTGTCACATAATGTAGGACCAGTAAGAGCTGCGTCGCATTACTCACGTCTGTCGTCTCGTCCACCACAACACCAAAGGTGCTTTTTTAAATCTCCCTTTGTATTTCTTCTCCCATCACTTCAACAGTAGCATTAATCAGGTCATTTTGTATTTTACCCAGAGTTCCACAAAACACTGTGTTAGTGGTCAGGTGATAATGTAAGTCTGTGTTGTTTTCAGCAAGAAAAGGAAGAAGCTCCACATAGCTGACTGCTCTCATTGTGTCCCCTGAATGACAGTTCTTGTTTACCTAAAAATATAACACAATCTATCAGTCCTTTTAATATTTCTCTATTTTTCTTCACCCTTTTGTTGTGGAACTCTGTTTCCCTGCAAACTTGTTCGCTGGGAAACTTTCAGTATGTCCAGCTTTTCTTAGAAAGTCCGCCTTGAAAATAGTTTTCTAAGCATATCTGCGACTAAATCAATATCTTCTCCTCCTTCAGCAATTGTGGGTTAAAAAAAAACAATTATTAATCATTTTTTAATAAAGTTTTAGCTTTGGTAGGTCACTACTGATATGAATTGTTAGCTTCAACTAAGCTCTGTGACCATCCAATCAAAGGACGTATAAATGCTGACGTTATTGAACGCCTGCAATGCATTTTAAACTACATGCGCCTGCACTTTTGATTATGAAGGCTTCAGGGCAGATATTTCTGACCTTGGCAACTAAGGCTGGACCAGCACACATTAAAAAAACAACAAACAAACGAACTTAAAAAAAACAATATGACCTTAAAAGTCCTCTACTTAAACTTAACCACCAAAATCAGCAAACTGCACTTATTGTGGTGTTTCATAACAGTGGTGTTGTTTAACAGTAACAACCCATTAGCACAGATAATGAAATAGAAGAGGGACGCTAAATATAATAGAGCAATGAATATTTTGTCTGAAACCACAGAGCGTTGACTGCTGATGATGTTGTCCACTTTATTGTCTTATTTGTGACATTCTCCTCTGAAACACCTAAATATTGGTGTGTGAGTGTGACACCCTACAGACAGTCCAGTCGGTGGAGAAAGATGGGACAACCTTGGATTTCACATTCTTTGTTTGGCCTAAATCTGTGGCTTGAGGTTGTTATGATGAAAAAACAGTCAGATTCAGGCACTGGGATGCATTGCGCCCATAGTGATGCAGACATAACCTCAGAGAAAGGACAGACATATTAAATTAATACATGTGTGCTGGTCTATGGGTTGTGTTGCTGACAAACACTGTTTTTAGTCTGAGGCCTGAGGGCTGTACTACAAAGCGAGATTAGTGGGTTAGTGAGGTATGTTGAGCCTAAAGCCAGAGTTTTTGGTATCGCAAAGGTGGCTCTCTTTTAACTTGTTAGTTCTCCGTGGTAACTTACGATGGGGAACTAACCTGGCCTGAAGCAGGTTTTGTTCCGAGTTTTCAGCTTTAAATCATCTGAAAGAAATGTCTCTCCTTACCCAAATTGTTTCCTGGCAATTATTTATGAGTGACACGGATTCTCAGCTGAGCAAATAAGTTACATCTGCAAACCTGATACATTACTAATTCCACTGAATGACACCTTGCAGTTACAGAATCACAAACTGTATGCAGCGTGTCGCAACAGGAACCCTATTCAGCTAGTAATGCAGAAATTGCATAAATATGTTTTTATCTTTGGTCCTTAATTTCTGCCAAGTCCATTTACACTGCTGGTACTGCAGCTGACAAAACACAGATTAGAAAACTGATAATTCCATTTTTATATATTACAGAGATTACTAAATCAGTAACATTAATGTCACTTTGATTTGTCCAAAAATTAAAGTGATATCCTGCATTATGGGACAGTGCCAGTCCTAAATGCACGTCAATGCAATTATGTGAGAGCTGACAACTTCTGAGTTGTGCTACGGCTTCAATGTAAGCAGGAAAGAACTCTCGGCCTTTGCATGTGCAGTGCTGCTTATGACATGAAATGGCCTCTTATACACCCCGGGAATACAATTAAGCTTAAGCATGTCAAATAGGACATAAAGCATTATGTAATCAGCTGCATTTTTTTGTCATGTTCATTGTATTCTATAGGTAATATACCATTAGTGGTACCAGGCATTAAAATAAACATGAAACTGAGGAAAACAAGGGTGATCCAATATTTTTTTCCATGACTGTACATCTATGATGATAGAAAGAAATCTTCTAAAAGCTACTTAATTGTAGAAGCTTACCCCAGCATTATTCAGATCAGGACATCTGGATTTTAGGTCAAATTCGAGTTTTTCTGCCATGTAGAGAAAGACAAGTATACAAATTCTTTTAAATCATTGGTATATGCCACTTAAAAATGAATCTCCTCTTATTACGGTTTCTTGATAACACCAGCTGTTCAAAATAGCCAAAGTAGTAGTTACGTGAACAGAGAAAGAAGGGCTCCCCATTGACTACTAAAATTCTTACAAAGATGCAGCACACTGCAAAATTGCTCATTTTCTGAGGTGTGCACAGCCTGCTCACTGATGAGCTGATGTACAAAAAGAGGCAGGGTTTGTTTTACATCCATTCAGTTAAAGGAGGATTAATTCCATGCTGTTACATTACATGCAGTTGTTGTGTTTTGCTTCGGCAGGACTAAACTCAGTTCAAACCCAAGAGCTAAGAATGATGCCTTCTATACCAGATGTACTGATGAGTTAAGACTATTTACACCGATGTGCTGCAAATGGCCATTTGTCTTTTCAGACTGTATGAGATTTTATTAACAGGATTGTTGGGTGTAGAAATGATGAGCAGTCTCAGTTGTCATCCAGAATTCTCAGTCACATGCAGCTCTTTCATACCTTGATGTCTGAATCTGTCTACATTGGGTTTACATAGGAAAATGAGCATAGAGTGCTCCTTCTAATTAAACTGTCTGTTGCAGGTGGGTGACCAGATACTGGAAGTCAATGGTCAGAGCTTTGTCACCATCTCCCATGATGAGGCAGTTAACATCCTCAAAACAGGGTGCCACTTGTTGATGAAAGTGAGGGATGTGGGCCGCCTGCCTCATGCACGCACAGTGGTGGATGAGACCAAATGGATCTGCAGTCAGGTCATAGCTGAGACCAACGCTACAGCGAATCCTAACTCAGTCACCAACCCCACTGTCAATGCAGGTGTCAGTGCCAGTGCCAGTGCCAGTGCCTGCAGTTCAAGGTGAGTGAATGATGCTAGAGGAAAATAGCTTTGTGTATTAAGATAAATGCTAGAACTGTGATTGGGCTTGGTGCAAAGATATCTTTGTGAATGTTGTTGTAATCTTTTTAACTTGGTGTGCTGCTTGGTTTCCCAATATGAATGTTTAACAGATATGGGTCAAAGACTTTTTACACTGGTAAATTGTTAAAGTCCTCTCTGACCTTTGAAGGTTGAGGTCAACCGTACAGAAAAATGTATGTTTAAAGCTGGAAACTTTTAAGAGTTTGCATGCCAATCATGGTCCAACTGGCAATTTAAATCAGTGCACTACTGGAACTTAAAGTATGCATTCCACTGAGAATGAAGCTTCCTTTGAAGGGCGAGAAATTTTCTATCCAGTAAACCTTTAAAATTAAAAATCTAGATTTTGGATTTTTCAATGTGAGCAGAGGTGAAAGTGTGATTTTAAGAAATGCTAACAAGGAAACTTTCTTTATGGAAAAATTGTATTAGACATAAGTTATTGCTCCAAACAAAGTTTTTTGTACATCCTTACTGGGGGAAACTACCTCAGGTTACATTTTGCAACCTGAGGTTAATTAAACTTGTCAACAGTGGTTATGTAGGTGTGCATTTACAGTAAGCTTACCCAAACAGTGTGAACCATCCATCCTTTCTCTACTGCTTGTCAGGAACCAGGTCATAATGGCAGCAAGCTAAAAAAGGTATTCCAGACATCCCTCTGGCCAGAACACAATCCTGAGTCACTTAGTCCTACCAGTTGGGCATGCCTCGAAAAGCTGAAGAGGGAGTCATATCTCTATTTCTTTTGGTCCCTACCCATATTTTGAAGCAGCAAGAACTGAAATAAAGTAGAGCTGAAAGATTCTTCATTTTGAGTAGATCATTTAGAAAGTCATGTCAGGGCATGCATTGTCACTCCATGGTTATGTCATGGTTTTGTTGAGGTTTCTGACCCACATGCAGAATAACACTCAGGAGAAGTGGAGCTAGAAAAATGAGATTTATTACAGAGATGGGAAAGGTTCAAGGATGAGGTTGAACCAGGCTGGGACGTCGATGTGGGTCTTGTGGACGGCTGGGGTGGACAGGCCGTGTGGTGGTCAGTGCAGTGGAGTGAGAGAAGCGGGAGTGTTACCAGTTGGAGTGACGGAGAAAACCTGGGTCTGGTGCAGATTGGTTGTGGGGGAAGCACATGTGAGGAGCGGGTGCTTCCCCACAACCAATGGGAACATTAACCATCAGGGAAAAACCACATAGGTTAATACTAAGGCAATGAGTAACTGGCGACCAGCTCCTTTTATCCACGGAGTGACGAGCCTGATGAATTGCAGGGAATGAGCCCCAGCACAGCAGGAGCTCCCCAGGACGCCCTCTGGTGGAAACCTGCAGGAGAACACAAACACAGCCCAGAAACCCCATTCCCTGACAGGTTATTCTGGTTCTTAAATAAACCCTTTGGAATCTATGCCTTCAAATAATTGAGAAACTCAATCTATTGTGTATAACAGGAAAGAAAATCACAGTGGTTAAATTTGTTCTATCCATTCAAAACTAACAACAGAAATGTTGCCATATGGTTTTCTGTGAACAAACCTCATCGAATGGGAGCTCCATCACCGAAAAGGACTCTGGTTGGGGGTCCATCACATGAAAGACATGGCCAGCACTGGTGGATTGTGTTTGATGGCTCTGTTGTGTTTGACAGCACAGCAATGTGTTGAGACCCACCTCTCTTTCTTCTTTTCTCTCCTCCTCTCTCCATCCGTCTCCCAGGCCTAATGGCCCTGGGCCTGAATGAAAATTTGGGGAGGTATGAATTTCTAGTGCCAACTGCTGCCTTGGAAAACATACAAGGTCTCATGTTGCTGTGGTTGTGCCTTGGGTAGGCTCGGCTGTGATGTTTCTTTATTTTCTATAATGCACAGGAAATGGAAATGTACAGGAATTTAAGTTGATGAGGACAAATGTGTTTCTTAAAATGTACTAAGCATTGTCTTTTGTTCTTGTTTTCTCGTAGACCATCTTCAGCTAGAGCTACACCTGTATTAGGGAAGGTAAGAACCACAGCTGTGCTTTTATGTTGTTGTTTTTTTCCTTTTCTAACGTGCATGCAGATGGTGCTGGAGTCTGATTGATATAGTCATTTTAGTCTTAAAATTAAATCAAAAAAGTCCTGTGACAGTAGTAACTGTGATTTCACCTTTACTGTATCCAGTGCCTTTCCACTACTTTGAATTACTGGTGTTGTTGCCAATCAAACTGCAGGAGGGAAAGGTGTGTTTTGACAGATGATCATATTTGGACATTAAAAATTCAGGTAGTCAGCTTCTCACAGGTACATTTTCCAGTTACAGTGACAAAACATTGCAGGCAGCAGAATTTATTAGCAGTAATTAATTTTAATTCCATATACGTTGTTTGCTAAAGACCAAAATGAAAGCAGTGTCTGGGCTCAGTCATAGATCATTTGTGAGATAAAAGAAGCACAACTTTAACACTGAGTGGATGGTCGGTTTCTTAAAATAGTCAAAACCAATCGTGAGTGGAAGAATGAGGGTTTGTCTATGGTGAAGTGATCAAGCTGATTGAATTAAATAATGCAAACACACTACATTTTATGTATTAATGAAAACCGATGTATGTACACTGCTTAACAAATTTATTAAACCACCACCCAATGTAAGGTTGATGCCACTACTTCCCTAAAGTAACATTGCTAATTACCAAAATCATTTTCTATGTTTCTGTAATGGGTAATGCATCAGTATGTAGAAGCTCTTTAACCGAAATAATATTTTTAATGGTAAAATATAATCATTATTGTTATCCATGAATTAAAAAAAAACAAAAACGTCTCCAGTCACTCCACCTCTGTTCCGCTGATCCTGAGTGGGTGGTATGCCCTCTGCTGCTTCTTGCTGTTGCCCACAATCAGTTCTTTAGTCTTGCTGACATTCAGGAGGAGGCTGTTGTCTCTGCACCAGTCCTCCAGGTGGGTGATCTCCATCAAATAGTCTTCCTCGTTGTTGCTGGAGATCAGACCCACCACTGCTGTGTTGTCAGAAAACTTACTGATGGTGTTAGAGTCTGATGTGGACAGGCAGTCATTTGTGTACAGTGAGTACAGCAGACGGCGTTGAAACATCCTTCTCACTTCATGCTCCGTCACAGTGCACGTCTCCTCATCTCTGCCGGGCAGGAAGTGCGCCTCTCGCCTGGGAGCCTCCAAGCACGCATAAAGTTGTTGAGTTTGTTGGCCAGAGAGATGTCAGCACTCACCATGGACATCGGTGTTGCTTTACGGTCTGTTGTTGTTCTTAGTCCCTGCCACAGCTGTGACTCCAGCTTTCCCCTGTACCTCTGCTTGGCCTCCCTCACAGCTCTGCGGACACTGTACGTAGCGGCCTTGTACAGTCCCATGTCTCCGGTAGCAAGTCCTGTGTTGTAGGCGGCGGTGCGGGACTTCAGAGCGCCGCAGATGCCTTTGTTCATCCACGGCTTCTGATTGGGAAACTCCCTGATAGTTCTTTTGGGGATAATGTCCTCCACTTCCCAATAAATCCCATAACCACCTCCGTAAACACACTGATGTCATCAGCAGAGCTGTGTTGGAACACGTCTCAGTCCGATGTCTCCAAGGCGTCCTGGTCAGACCAACACGTCACTTCTCTCTCCACCAGGGCTGTTTGCTTCAGCCGCTGTCTGTACCTGGGCAGGAGGAGGATGGAGGTGTGGTCTAACCTGCTGAATTGTGGTTGAGTCATTGCTGCATAGCTGTCTCTGAAGGGAGAATAGCAGTGGTCCAAAGTTCTGTCTCCTCTGGTGGGGAAGGCGATGTGCTGGCGAAGTTCGGGCATCCCCTTCCTCTGGTTGGCACTGTTAAAATCCCCGGCCACGATGAGGGCTGCCTCCCGGTGGTTAGCCTGGTCGCTGGAGTTAGCCTCATGTAGCTCAGCTAATGCAGCGTCTGTGTCCACCTGCGGGTAAATGTAGACAGCACTGACAATAACGGAGGTGAATTCCTGGAGGAGGTAGAAAGACCGGCATTTGATGGTTAAAAGTGACAGGTTGGGTGAGACTTAGAGAGACAAACAGCATCTCTGCACCAGTTGTTGTTGGTCATGAGAGAGACACCCCCACCTCTAAACTTCCCCGACTCAGCCGTTCTGTCCATACGATGTACTGTGAAGAACTCTGCTTGTTGAACGGCATGGTCTGGTATGGTGGGGCTCAGCCATGTCTCCATGAAACAGATGATGTTGCAGGCTCTTGTGTCCCTCTGGTACCTGATCCTGGCTCTGAGCTCATCCAGCTTGTTGTCCAGGGACTGGATGTTGGGTGTGGTGGTTGGTGTGCTCGTATCCTCAACCTGTTCCTAATGCTGGCTCATTTCCCCTGTTACGCTGCCGCCGTCATGTGTCGTTGTTGTTATTGTTGTTGGCCCTGTAGAATCTTGCTGGGCCAGGACTCATGGGCAGAAAAAGTGGTGTAGTGTAGTGATAAACCAATATTCACTAGTGTGTCTCTGTCGTATTTGATACGACAAGGACACGACATGGTGAACGCTGTGCAAAAAGATAAATAAAAATAACAACGGAGCAGGTATGATGGCTGCCTCATTCACCGGCGCCCTCTTGCATTTTTTATGATCTATGTGAACTATTTTATGTTACACAAATTACCCTGAATTTCCCCTGTGGGGATCAATAAAGAATTGTCTTATCTTAATGACAATATAACAAATGATTAGTCATTATTAGTCAGAATTTCATGGTATGTCAAGTAACTATTAACTAATGTTTAATTCACACAGTCAATTTACTGTTTTTTAACAATGCTTATTATAAAGTGTTACCACAAAGACAAAGTAAGGCACCGTTTTCTTTATTGAACCAGTGGATCAAAATTTCATTAGTTTGCACCAAGTTTGATTTAAGAAAAGTCCACCAGATAATGACAAAGCATGATATGATTATTTCATCAATCAACTATTTTTAAGGAAATGAATGATGTGTTTTCCGCTTTTAAAGGGTTTAACTTTCTGAAACTGGAGGCAATTTAATGATTCAATTGACAACAGAGGGGAGAAATCACAGTTCCGATTTGTAAGATTTGTACGGCAACTATTTATATATATACATTTTTTAAAATAAAAATATATAATGTATAATTTTTTTAGAATAAAAAACTTAACCGAACTCTAAAAATCTCTAATAGCATACCTGTTTTGGCGGACAAATCTTGTCTATTTATGCATAAAGTAATTTTAGGCTTGGAGTCTCACGAGACATATTAATTTCCATGACCTGCACTGAAGGCTCATCTCCCAGCATCTGTGGAAAACATTGATGCAGAGAATTTGGGCAAAATATAATCTGATGTCCCAATGGACTGATTCCCTTTTTTAGGAGAACTATACTTTATCGGTGTTTAATATGCAAATCCTCTCCTGTGTCAAAATACAAAGAGAAATCAGCATTGGATGTTTTCTGCTCTGCAAACAGTGAAGGGTAAACTACATATTTTCTGTGGTTTTGTGTCCTTAGTTGACAGAGGTTCACACCTTAAATTGTTAATAGGAGCTGAAGTTTAACTTACTTACCTTCAGTTATTTGTAGGAATCTTTCCTCTAAGTCTATTTAACACCTGGATTATCCATATCCAACAGCAACAACTTCATTAAATACTTACATTAATAAGTTATTACAATGAGGAAATGGGATGGATCAGGATCCGAAGTTTTTGTCTTTAATTGGGAACATTTTTCTGTTGCAGAGCACAGTGTTTCCAGCAGTAATGTTGTTGTGTGTATTGATGCATTACAGAACATGACCTCTCTAAATCAAGAAAGTAACTTTCAAAATACAGCAACAAGCAGCAATGAAAACACATGTTGTTGTACCTTAATGGGTTGAAGTTATTTAGCCTGTATACTTTGCCAGTGAACGTTCTCCTCTCAAATACTATTAAAAGACTCTTTTGAGTGTCGTCCACTTATTCACAAAATGTTAACCATACCTGTATTAGTCTATGTGCATAAAATAATTATCAACTTTAACTGTAAAGTATGACACAAAGTCTGTCAGTATTTGATTTCTTAACTGACAGGTTTCCACTAGCCTCTATGCAACAAATGGCAATAAGGTCTTTAGCTGAAGCTCAGGAGCAGAACCACACCTCAATCACGCCCCTTCCTGCTGTAGGTCTATACGCATCGCTCTGCCCATCTCACTTGCTTGTTCTCGCATCTCGTGCACAGACCAACACCTGCCATCGCTCAGCCATGCTGCCAGTCTGAAAGTTTTAGGAAACTCTGACTTACCACGGACCGCTCATCCATCAGCCTTCTGTGATAAAACATTCAGCCCGGCTCCAGATCTCCTCTCACTGTTCTCCAGCTACATCAGACTCTACAACCAGGCTTTTCACCAAAATGTAATTTCTCCTTACTTAACTTCCACTCACTGCAGTGTTGATGCCCGAAGCATCCAGAGAAGCCACCGCATCTGAAAAAGATTGCCGCACTCCCACACTTCCGACAGATCTTCTGGCAATGTCCCTCCATGTCCGCCCGAACCTTTGTGGGTCTTCAGAAAGCAGTAAGAGAAAGACTTTACCTGCTACCATGCTGACAGTAAAGTTATACTATTCAAACTTCTGACAAACTCCTGGATCTTAGATCATGTGATAAACCACAACAATCCACTATTCGGCAGACAGTATGCATGAGGATGCCAGTTTGAATCACCTCAATCCTTTCGTTCAACAAATTCAGCTCTCATTTTGGCACCAAGATGCCGGTTTCACTCATCTATGTCCCCCGCTTAAACAATTTTATCTCATTCTTGCACCGGGATGCTGGTTTCACTCGTCTCTGTCCACTCACTCGACAAATTTGGCTCTCATTCTGGCATCGAGATGCCAGTTCCATTTGTCCCTTTATACCTCGTCAACAGCCTGCTTCTGTTTAAATTTTCAGTCAAGATGCCAGTGGCACATACCTCCATTGGCCACGGCCAGAAGTTGTCCAAGATGCATCTGAATCAGGTATTCGAACCATCATACAGTATCTCTTCTACATCCAATATTCATCCTTTCTCCATCTTCGAAGACTGCCTGGTCTATTCACTCAAATGAAGTGAAACCGACCAAGCGGGAAATCCAATGCCCATTATGCACTTCAAACTAGACTCACACTTCAGCCCTCACAACTCTATAGTACATCATATACAAACCAGAAAATCTCCAATCCAATCCTCTTGCCTTCTGTATTGATGCAGACTCCAGCCGAGAGGTTCTGGACCACCTCATAAGGCCATGGGCCTCAAATGTATCTGCTTCTCATCTGCTCCAGCCCTCGAGGCCTACATTACACCCACTCTTTGTTTTATTCTTATGGGAGGCTTTTTTGGGGGCCCACCGGCCTGGGAGCTGCTGCTGATCCCTGACTAAACTTTTCCCCACACCGCATCAGCTCATCTCAATCATCACTGATGTCACGCTCATTTGCATCCAATAAAAAAATCAAGTTGCAATTTGATGGAAGAAAAATCCTTATCTGAAGTTCAGAACCACACCTCAATCCCTCCCCTTTCTGTTATACGTCTCTAACATACCACTCTGCACTTCCCACTTGCTTGTTCTCGGTTCTAGTGCCACACCAACCCTCCCTTTATTTCTGCCTCCTCTTCCTGTCTTCTCCTTTTCCTAGGGGATACGCCAGCCCGGGAGCTGTTGCTGATTCCTGACTAAGCTTTTCCCCACACAGCATTAGCTTAACTCAGTCTTCACCTACATTACGCTAATCTGCATCCAATAAACAATCAAGCTTCAATTTTGATGCCATGCTTGTGAACAGCATAATAAAATCCCTGAAATTCAGTTATGGCTTTTGGCTTTGTGTGCAGCTTCTAGACTTTGAAGAGGACCCATGGGCCTACCGCTATGAAAAATCTAAGATTTAAGGCCAGTGTCATACGTTGCCAGTCTTGGCTTTTTACCTTCTATAGAAGCTCTATGGTGATTTTGACAGTGTGCTTTGGATAATTGTCCTGCTAGAATATTTCTCTTGTGCCAAGCTTCTGCAGACTGAGAGTCATCTTGTCAGCCAGTATTTTGAAATATATCCACATTTGTAAATGTAAGCTCCTCAACACTTTTTGCACGAATGCAGCGTCATATCATCACACTCCCACATTTGTGCTTCACTGCTACGACTCTGCACATAACCAGGTTCATGCCAAACAATTGAGACCCATCTGACCCAAACAAATTTACTTTTCACTTTCTTCATGTCCTTTCCACTGTCACCAAGTGCATGCTCAAGGGACTCTGAATAAACTTTGGTTTTGTTGGGTTTCCTTAAGATGACATATGTTGTGAAATGGCACTATATAATAACAATTAAATAGAAAAATTAAAACTGACTAATCAATGTGCTCCTAATATTCTTCAAGGTTCTTTTCATGTTCTTTAACAATGTTTGCCATTTTGACATTATGAACTGTGCTTTGCACTGTCTTCATTGTCAGAGAAACTCTGATTTCCAGTAATATCCCCTGTGCCATGTCCATAACAGCTGCCCTTTTGTTTTTTAGACCTTTGTTGTGCAAGTAATGCATTGTCTTTGGTGTTTTAGGAGAATAACCACTGCAGCTCTGACTGGTGGTATTATAGCACTATGGCTTTGTATCTCCTGATTACTGCTGCAACTGTGTTTTGACTAATTTTGAGTTTGTCACTGATCCTGTATCCTTTTTCATCTTTGTGAAGTCACACAAACATTTTTAGTTCCACTGGAAATCTCTTCCGTGTGTCACCATTATACAGACCTGCTGATAGACATGGACACTGGTCCAAAACTGAGAAAGCTCTGCTGTTCATCGCTCATTTTGTAGCCATGTTCATGTAATTAAGCTAACTTGAAGTGACAGGTGTACTCAGTGTAATCACATTTGCTAACTTGGCCTCAATTTTTAATATTGTCTCTTTGAAGAGTTTTTTAAAAAAAATTCCTTAGAAGAAAAACTCTACTTATACTATACATTATTGTGGGAAAATTTAAGCTCAAGTACATTTTGAATGCTTACACAGGATTATTCTGAAATCAAACTGATATTCAACCAGTGAAGTACTCAGATCACATTACTGTAACAATGCAACATATGAAGCACCTCTTGTTGCGCAGTCAAGAAGAGCTTCGGGAACAATCAGGAAAACGATTTAAGCTGAAAGTAATTTAAAATGTTAGTTAGCTGGAATCTATACTAGTTAGGGACCAAAGTGTGAACAACAAAACAGTCGAAGCATTGAACTTATATTTACGGACATTTATTATTTATCAAACTAACAACACGATGACAACTACAAACTATGACACAACATTAAAACACATTAACAAAACAAACAACCCTGTTAATGTAAGTGAGGGGGAAAAGGAAAGGGAGAGAACACAATATTTCAACATAATATTGCGGTCAGTATTATGGTATAAAACAGTGTTCAAAGAGGAAGGGATGAAAAGACCACACCTGAAAGCAGCTGCTATTTTGGTGGTATGCTGGTTCCGGAGTTTTGAAGGAATTTACTTTTAGGAATAAAAGAAAAATGAGAGAGTTGCACCAAATCTTGAGTGACTGAAAGTTATTTTTGTGTGTGCCGTGTTGATGCGACTGCGTTTCTGCTGATGGATGGTCATTTGGCCTGTTGATGTGAGTTGGAACAGCGGTGGAAAGATTAGAGCCTCCTAGCTGGTCTTGAAGAATTTGAGTAGGACTCAGGAAGGATTCTTGAAAAGGAGGACTCAAAGTGTTGCTTTCCTTTATAGTCTTTTGAAGGGACTTTTTGCATGACACTCAGGAGGGGGTCTGACACAACCGTCGTCAGGGAGGGCTGATGTCCAGATGTGCCTCACAGAGGTACACAGTAAGACATTTTGTGTTGGGTTATATGGCTTTAAAACAGTAAAACATTGTGACACACCATTTATATGTGTGTACTCCGGGTGGACAGATGATCAAAACAAGACTAAACACATATTTGACATCAGACAATGTTAAACTTCTAGTTTGTCAAGTGAACTTACAAACAACGCAACAGATTTAAAGAAAGGGCATAGTGTAACTGAACATAATGAAGTTATTGGAATCAGTATTGAATATGTTAATGTTACATACATATACTGTTGACTGATATTCTCGAGCTGTATGTTTTCATCTGTTCTAGAATTCAGTCATTTGGTGTTTGGCTGCATTGAGTAAAGTTGATGTTAATCGGACTGCACACAGACACAGAGTCTTGCATGTAAATTAACATCATCTTTTCTAGCCTGTTACCACAATCTTCCAAAAATCATATGCATGGCCTTTTGGCCTTTTGGCCTTTACATAAACACACACGTGGCAAGGAGACTCAAAATTCCCGCTTCAGTCTCTTTTGCTGTGGTATAACACGTGGGTTCATGCCTGAGCACATGATGAGGGCAGAACAAACAAGTCCTGAATGACTGCATGTTCCTGGCCTTATAGAATTACATAGCTCTCTTCAACCTGTCAGTGTGTGACTTTTTGTTGTCATTTTTTTCTCACTTGTAACCTACCTGTGTATCTAGTCAGCAGGATGCAGAGGTGTGGGCCCGCCGGGTGCTCAGGTGTCTCTGGAGCAGCAGGCTTACATGCTGCTGACGGAGCCAGAGAGGCAGACCATGGCCTACTACCTGCAGGAGTACCAAGACGGACACATAGGAGTGGAGCCGCTGGCCATGGCTCTGTTTGAGCTTTTCAACACACATGCAAAGGTACAGCAGTCTGCAGCAGCTGCATAGCAACTGTACCAGTGCCTGTCTATGTTAACACTCTGCTCTTTCCCTCACATATGGTCTCATCTTCTTATCTTGTGTGTTTTCTGCTCTTGTTCCCCACAGTTGTCCATGTTGTCTGAGGTGAGGAGTCTGGTGGCTCCTGAGGATCTGGAGTTGTATGACAGGCTAGTGTTGCACCGAGAGAGGGAAGCTCACATGACTTGGTATGGAGGGCTGGGAGTGCTGCATTCACAGGGCCTCTGTAACCATCCAGCCTCTGTAATCAGTGACACAGGACATACTGTTTCTGCTATGGTAGGTATCTGTTAACATTTGGCATGGTTGCTTGCTAAATGTTCTAGCAGAAAATACAGAATTTAAATATTTTTTACAAAAGCTAAACAGGATAAATGGAATGAGTGTGTGTGTGTGATTGTGTCACTTTCCCTCAGTCTTAGCTTTCTGGCATCAGTCTTCAACACAGGTCAGCCATCTTTGTGGCAGGTCAGCGACTGTGTAGCATTGATGTTTCACTTTGACCCACATCAATTCACAGAAACCTCAATCTTCTGGCTTAGAATTTTACTTTTGATTCCCTTGCTCTAGTAGTTTGCCCCCTTGAAGACATAAATTAGCTGCACTTATGTAATGCCTTTTTACCTTACACCTACAGTGTGTTTCTCATTCACCCATTCACACAAGCATTCACATACCAATGGTGACAGAATTGCCAAGCAAGGTGCATGCCTACTATTGGAAGCAACTTTGGGTTCAATTTCTTGCCCAAGGACACTTTGACATGTGGGGGGTGGGGGATCGAACTGTCAGCCTTAGAGGACAACCCCCAATACCACCTGAGCCACAGCCGCCAAGGCACTGTTTGATATTCCAGCCCACTTCCTTACAAACTCACCCTGTTCACAGGAGCTGTTGTACATTTGTTGTGTCCTGGTGAACTGTTTGATGCTGCTACTAAAAACTTCCTAGTGATAGTGTTTGCCACAGCACAGCATGTGACTGTGTAATTTCCCATGCTGACACTCTCTTTGTTATTGCGAAACTACAACACCCCAATAAAAAGCTAATTGCTTTCAATTGACAGTCACTTAGTTACTCAATGAGAAACAGTAAGATTTACTGTAGCAACACCATGTTATTGTCAAGAACTCACTCAGGCGGACACAAATGGTCGACACAGAAAAGGTTCAGGCAAAAAGGCAGGTTTATTACCGGTCAGGGTTCGGTACACAGAAGGTCAGTCAAATCAGGCAGAAGTATCCAAAAAGCGAGAGGCAAAAGACAAGGTCCAAAAACAGAAGCAAGGTCGTAACAAAACAGACTATGACTATGGTTTGGAGAACGCTGGTACGGAGGCTGTGAAAGTGCAACGAACTGGCGACAAGATAGCGAGACACACAGGGTAATATACACGAGGCAATGAGGGGCGATGGGAAACAGGTGCAGGGAAGTAATCAGGGAACAGGTGAGACAAGACAGGTGCAGGAAGTAAAACTGGAACAGAAACAACCAGTGAAGTGATTTCAAAATAAAACAGGAAAGAGGAGACATAGAATGTGTACACGAAACAGGAACTTGACAGACATGATAGTTATGGTAGCATAAATACACTTTAAAGCTAAATCGCACTTGTAAATTTAAGGGCACCATCTCGGATTACTAAGAAAAATATAATTTCAAGTCAGATCTTAAAGAAATTTTAATTTGAATGCAGTTGATTAGACTGAAATTTTACATTCATTAATTCTGATTGAATTGACCTCAGTTCCCACACAAAGAAAAGCATGAAACAATGAAGTGGTCTAAATGAAACTGTTTATTAACTGCTCGACTAAGTAAAAACCTAGGTTATAAACAATGAGAGTATGTAAGGAGAACTGTTAATATTAAACTACTAAAAAAAAAAAAAAAAAAAAAAGAGGATAATGGTGAAAGGAGGATAATTAGCGGACTGTCTAAAGCTGGTCATCTGTTGTTTAGGTTTATGATTGATACGCTATAAATAACAGAAACTGACATCTATTCGAACATCATCTTGATCTAGAGCAGAAAGAAGAGATGGTCTTTGCCTACTGCAGGGGTCGGGAACCCACGGCTCTGGAGCCACATGCGGCTCTTTTAACGCTCTGCTGTGTCTCCTTGTGGCTTTGGAAAATAAACAATGAGTATTTCATATACATTTATTTTATTTTAGTTCATTAGTTTTTCAAATGTAATTCTAAATTTGAAGATTATGGTGATCTTGTAACATTAAAATATAACGTTAAATTTTGTGTTGCTCAAATAAATAATAAAAAGTGGCTCAAAACAGATTCACAACCGCCGATGTGCGACACCCGCTGGCAGACGCAGCGTTGCCAACTTGGTGACTTTCTCGCTAAATCTGTCGACGCTCCAAATCCTCTGGGCGCCTTTTTTTTTTGACAAATCTAGCAACTCTTTCTGGTGATTTTGAGACTCCTCTGGTGTTTTGGAGATTCTGACGTGGAAACAGGTATCATTCTGCACTACTGTCCTCAGCGAGTAGCGGTGCTGCCGTGAGCTCCTCCCTGTCCTAAAGCGCTCATAGGCGATCAGAAGTCTGGTCAGCAGTCCCAGCTGCAGTCAGCAGGACAACCACACGTCATTTTTACTTTGCTGCAGGTTGATAATTTAAGTTTGGCTTTTTATTTCATATATACATGACGGGGATTTAAATAGACATTGAGTATTTTATTTGAAAGTAGCCTTAAACCCAGCGTCTTTTTTTCTGAGTTAAAATTTTTTTGTTGCATGCAGAAATAAAATTTAGTTTTCTCTGTAGCAGTGCATTGATTTAATAAATGCAACACGCGATAGTTTTTTATACATAGCATCTATCCATCCATTATCTATACACCGCTTAATCCTCACTGGGGTCGCGGGGGCCTGGAGAAAATCCCAGCTGACTTAGGGTGAAGGCAGGGGACACCCTGGACAGGTCACCAGTCTATCACAGGGCTACACTTAGAGACAGACAACCAAGCACACTCACATTCACAACTACGGACAATTTAGAATCACCAATTAACCTCAGCAAGTTTCCTAACCGGGGATCTTCTACCTGCAAGGCGACGGTGCTAACCCACCGAGACACCATGCAGCCCCTATACATAGCATAAAGGTAAAAAACGATATATGCACTGTTATCTTTCAGATGTCAAAAGGGTTTTGTTGCTCCAGGTTTTTTTTTTGTTGTTGTGTGGGAAATGGGTCCAAATGGCTCTTTGAGTGTTTAATGTTGCTGACCCCTGGCCTATTGTGTGCATTGTAGCTGGGTCACGGATTCCTTTGCCTGGAACAGCTGTTGTTGGGCAAAAAAAACTTTCTCATGACAGATTCAGGTTGTGTTCTCCTGCTAGCTAGCTCCCCACAGCGGTGCAGTGTCAAAAGTCAGTGCACCGTTTGCACGGTCCCTCAGCACTGTTGTTGACTAACTGTTTGGCTCTCGCTGGGTTTTCAGCAGCGTTTGGCATTGGCCAGGCGACACAAAAACGTCTAGAAGTATCAAGCAAAGCGAAGGCGTGGTGTAATTGAAAGCTATTGCAAAAACTTAAATTCTAACAATTCTGGTTGGCTTCATTTAAAAAATAAAACTGAATAAACTAAGAGTGAAGATAAATGCAATCAAAAGGAGAAAAATGAGAAGATGGAAAAAGGATGACTAAAAGAAGACATAAAGTGAAAAAGACAAAAAGACAGAAGAAGCTGGAACAAAAGTAGTCGTCTACTTTTCTTTTCTGAGGATGGGGGTGTGCATCAAGAGACAAGTTTGCTGCAGATTTTGGTAACTTTACTCTTCTCTCTTTGCTTTTTTATTTACTTATTTTTTGTTTGTGCTTTTTAGTCTTTATTATAGTGGAAAGTGGAGAGAGAGAGAGACAGGAAATATGGGGAGAACAGTGGAGGAAGGACCTGCAGTAAATGGTCATGGGACTCAAACCCATGACCTCTGCGTCGGGGTCTACAGCGACTGTTCATGGGTCGCCCGCCCAACCTGTTGAGCTATCCGGGTGTCCCACTGTTCTCTCTTTGATATCAAGAGAAGGTTACATTTTTCAGACTGAATTAAAAATACACCATACTGGCAAAACCCATTCTATCCATCTCTCACCATGGCCGAAATAAAATAACGAAATGAAATAAAATAAAATAAATAAAACATACTAAATAAAATAAATAAAACAAAGCTTACGCTTTTAAAATGTTTTGTTTTTGTGCTATGGCTCAGGGCTAAATAGCATTTGTTTTTATTTGAGATTAGTTATTAGTTATAAGTTTAGTTATTAGGATGTGAGGACGCTTCTTTTGTAAGGGGTGGACAATGTGTAAGAAGTAAAATTAATATGTGAATAATATGTTAGAATGCGGTCGACATAAATATCATATTGTTGGAGACGTGTTTATTCTTAATTATGTTTGTGCTGTCGGTTGCACATGCAGTATGTAGGTTGGCTAGGGGGTGCTGTTGAGGTAGCAGGTGTTGGTGTAGATTTAGGGAGAAGAAATCTACAGGGAGGGGAAGGGAGGGGAGCGGGAACCCGTATGCTAGAGCAGACTGTGTGTTGCGTGAAAAGCTCACTAGAAGTTATGAGAAGATCCGGAATGTGTTCTGAGTGATTCTTTTATGTACACAAACACCCACGACGCTAACAATATGAACATAAGGTGTTAAGAATGTATTCTATAGCACTGGACAATATCTATAGCTCATTGTTTAAAGTAACAATAAACTTAATCTCTTCTTTTAGTATATTAAACAATTATAACAGCAATTAAAGTATTAGTGGCAATCTGATGCCACTAGATGGTACTGTGGGTCCATGTCAGAAATGAGTTTATCTCTGCAAAATATTAACTTCATCCTCATATCACCTACAGATGTGTTTTTTGGATCAGTGATAAAATAACTTTTTTTACTGAGTCTGATGTATCCACAAACATACAAAACAAGGATATAATCTGTTTCCTTATCAGCTGCCCTGCTTGCAAGGGTCAGAGCTGAGGAAGAGAAGTGCATGTAACTCCACTGTGTGTTTGTAAAAGGGGTGAAGGGTGTCCATAGATGGGAAAGGCTGGAGTGTTCCGATTGGGTGAGAGTCAAAGTATACCTTTGAAGTTGGAAGTGTTAACGTCCTATATGCTGTCTTATAACTACACAAGAGTGATGAGACTGTGGAGGGATGAGGCACCATTTGCTCCAATGAATTACTAATGGTGATTTTGCTCACAAGAGTCTCCTGCTGTATTTCCAGTCACATTAATGGTGGTTCTTCCTG